GACAATGGTCACAAACTCACATCAATGCAACTAAATATGTTAGCTCTATCACTGATATTGAGCACTTTCCAATAAGTACCGCACATATATATATATATTTGTGTGTGAAAATATATAGAAAATAGGAAAGAACTCGTTAGGTAAATAATCCAAAGTTCTTTAGTATTTTTGTTATTATTTTTAAAAAAACAGTGCTGAATACAAAAGTAGAGCTTAAATATAATTATTTATTTAAAAATATGATTCCATCGCTACATAAGAGTTCTCATGTTTCAAAACAAGAGCCAAAAACTTCTATAAAATTTCGCTTGAAGATTGAACAGAGCTCGGTACTTTAATTCAATTTAATTCAAATAATTATATTGAAGTTTTCGGCTCTTGTTTTGAAACATGAGAAATCTTATGTAGTGATGGAATCACATAATTTGTATACCAGCCTCACTCCTGCATACCTTTTTACATGTCACTCACAAAAAGTTTTTGGAAATGATTTTCTCCTCTTGCACTCTCATGTGCCACTTCAGCTCAGCAGCAGACCTGCAAATTTTATTATGAAACCAACATAAATACATTGCAAGCCTGTCAGGAAGGACATCTCCATAGTCAACATAAGACTGACAATTTTCTTGCAATCTCAGATGATTAGCAAATCCAGTACAACATAGAACAACTTTCCCAAAGGTGTTACATACAAGCTCAGACTGAAATATATATATATATATATATATATATATATTCCCAAGTATGATTAAACATAATTCAATTTTGTTGAATTATAATAATGGGATTTTCATGTAATCTTTTTCCTTTTTTTTTTTTTTTTTTTTTTCTTTTTTCATTTCAGCTTTCTTTAAATTTTACAAAATCTCAAAACACCATTGATAATGTGTTATCTTTTCTCTCTTTTTTTTTTTTTGTACTCCCGTGTTGTTGCAAGGAAAAATGTTAATTTATAAATTGTTTTATTAATTTGTTCTAACATAGACATGAGCACACATACACACAACTTTCAACTGTTCAAATAATTCTAAAAATCTGCAGCAATATTTTCCTCATTATCATTAGGAGAAAATGTATATCCTATTTTTTTTGTTCCTTTTTTACAGCTGGCATTTTATGAACACCACCTTGAGATTCATATCATTGATTTTACATCTGGAAACGACAATAATAGTTTGTAAAGCAAGTAATTATTCCAATCAAGAAGCTCCTTGATTTCTCTTTCCGCACTGAATAAAACAGAACAAATGTCTTCATTGAATTAGTCTAAGACAGTGTTATGGCATATGATGTTTAGAGTCGTGCCTATAATAGTGGGATCTCATCCTCGTCGCCAGATTTGTTGTGGAGTGATTTCACAGTGGAGGCTTGTATTTGTACTAAGTCAATCCTAAAATATGTTCGACGTACAAAACATTAGGAACTTCATATAATAGGTATGACGTAGTCATCTAGTTGTGGTTGCTGATACTTTTAGTATCTGACTAACGGTCGTCCAACATCGACTGACTGACCAACTCACTGAGCGACTTCGCGACTCTTACTACTCCTACTTATTATAGGTGGGAGAGTCTATTAACTATAGAATAGGTGTGTTCCACTATAACAGACAGAGAATCATGGATCCATTCTTCAAGTACAATAAGATTAAGATAAATCTTAGATTTTCAAAATGTTACTCATTTGCTATTTTATTAATCTCTATATTAATTTTTTGCATATCACTATAGTGTAACTCTTTACACTATTTTGAATCTCACCATGGTCAATTTGTCAGGAAGGTGACTTACTAATGTTATCGGTCTGGGTCGATCCCAGTGTGCAGCACCTTTGGAAAGTGCCTGAAAAACCATACGATGGGTTGACCCAAGCCTTGTGAGTGAAATTGGGTAGACAGAATCTCTCGAGCTGTCGGTGGTTGTGCTTGCACAAAGTCACAAGTCATCGTGACCAAGGGTTTGAACATGCTAGCCTTGTTCAGACTATTGATCACATTAAATAATGTGCTCTCTCCCAGAAAAAGTAACTAAGGTTTGCTCAGCATAGTTGCAGTATAAACCACAGATGGTTGTTGAATAAACACAAATGTGCCTGAGCAGGCGTCTGCAATTGGGATTAGCTAGCTGCGCTGGTATTCTGACATCCTCAGATTCAAGTTGCTGCGCCATTTACATTTTTTTTATTTACTCTATTTACTTTGTTTGGACTGTTGTCCTCATCTTTATTGTCATATTCCCAATATTTTGGCCATTGTATACATAGGTACAATACCTACATCTCAAAAATATAGACAATATATTGTAATATTTTATCAAATATGTATAGTAAAGGACATGTTTTGTTTTTTTAGTGCATTGGATCTGTTAACATTTTTTACAGATGCTAGGCAAGAGAAATAGAGGAAAACAAAGTATACCCTGCCTAGATACCAATGTATGAGGGTCAAGCAGTTCAGTTCATAGGAACTGACGGCCAGACACCAGCACATATGATTTGATTATAGTGGTGAAGGCTTTGTGAAGAACCAACCACACTTTTTGAAGGGCCTAATACAGAGACCTGGTGCACTACATGCCACAAGGTTCCCAAACGACCCTCCACAAGTTCTGAATTCATAGTTGTCCTTCTCCTAGACCAGTTGCCATCCAAGGCTATAGAACCTGGTCTATCCTGCTATTTATCCATAGCTGAAGGGAGAAGAAGAGAATTAATACCTTTCCCAAGGGTATTACCATGTAAGTGAATGTAACTGAAATTCGAACTTGCCTCTCCGATTCCTCAATCCAAGCCACTATCCACTACTCTACCATGCCTCCTCTATACCCTATTTAGATACCTTGAGTAAATGGATGGTGGAGCAAGATTTAAGAGCGATAACAAAAACTTATTAGGAGCTACAATGGACAGGAAATGGTGGAGAGCCATGATCACCAATGTCCTGAATTGACATGGCATCTAGAAGAAGAATAATATTATCTCTTTATGAGATGCAAATTTTATTCACATACATTTAATAAGATGAAAGTACTTTTCATTATAGTTTCTTTTTTTTTCTTTTGTTTCTTTTTTAAGCAATTCACCCAAAGCTAGATGGGAGTGCTACTAGTATGCTAGGGGCTACAGAGGGTGTAAGTAAGGAAAAAGACTGAGTATGGCAGGATGTTGAGGAAAGTATAAAAAGAAGAATGGAGGAGGATAAAAAGAAAAACAGGGATCAAGGCAACAGAAGATGTCAATTGACATTACATTTAAATTTTTGAAGATTATAGTTATCAGAGAAGCAGGTTCCACTGTCAAGAATTGCAAGAGAAGAAGCTGTTGTAGAAACGGTGGTTACATTTAACTGTTTCATCAGTAAAAGGGTGGGACCAAGATGTCAACCTAGTAGCATGTTTAAATTCATGCAGTCAGAACATCAGTGAAAATGGCTCATCAGAGCAGATGCTATGAAAATATTTATAGAAAAGACAGAGGGAAACCACATTATGTTGGTGAGAAAGTGACGAGTTGAAACCCTAAGTCAGAACCAATCACATTGCATATCTGTCTTTGGAGTTTGTTGAGAACCTCAAGATGAACAGCAGGGGCACCAGACTATATATGGCAACAGTATTCCATGCATTTATCTCAAGAATTTTTTTTTATAATCATTTAACTCCAAGCAAGGCAATAAAGCCACTAAGACACAAAAGATTACTGGATTTTAGAGAATATAATAAAAAAAACCCTATTAAGAAGAGAAAACAATAAAAGAAGATTAATTAAGACAGAAGATAATAACTGATAATGCATTTAAATTTTTGAAGATCAAAGTTAACTGAGAAGAAAAGAAGCTGGAAGAGAGTTCCACAGGCAAGAAGTATGAGAGATGTAACTGTTACTATAGAACTTATGGTTACATCTATACTTTTCAACTGTAAAATGATAAGCCCTTGTCGCTAATCTCATACTGCACTTAAATTCATAAAGTCTAGGTACCATGGAAGAAAGTTGTAGTGATTCTTGGAGTTAAAAGAAAATTTTTAAACTTAGTTATTTTATTGAGAAGACTATTCTATAATTCGCCTATTATCAGTTTTACATTCCTCCCCAATCTTTTGAGCAGGAGTAAAAGTTTATCCTTTATTTCCTGTTTAGGATTGTGTTTTCGGTTCCTTCCAAATTCTTATTCCCTTTCATCCTTGCATCTTAGTGGCACTTATCAGTTTGCTTGGGGTGAATTGATTAAAAAGAAAAAAAAAAATGGACATTAGTTCTTTAAATTTTTCAGCTGAATATGCTTTTATTTATGCATTCTTTTTATTTATAGATTTATTGCGATGTGGACCAGCAATAAACTTTATTTAAGAAATTGTATTTTTAAGACTGTTGTCAAAATTCATCTCGACACCTGAAAAATATAGAATTAAACTTTTTTTCATATGCCGTATATATTTGAGAGTAGTGTGTTTTTCTGATCTGTTTTTACACAAAAAATAGGGGGTCTCTCTCTACACAGGTAAATTTTTTTTTAAGAGGTCAAAAATCATGCATTTTCAGTGACTGATTACACAGGTAAATTTTTTCTAGAGGAGTTAAAATTCATGCAAAAATATTCAAGGGTTACATGATAAATGAAGTAGACTTATACACAAGTATATACGGTAATTTCAACTTATAGTTATGAGACTGAATATTACAGAGCAGTTGTTTTTTAACCAGTAAGAATTTAAAAGGTTTTACATCAGAGATTAAAATTGCTTTCTTTGAATACTGCGCTTTGATTAAAATGTTTTACAAAGGGAATTTTTTAAGATAATAAAGTCAATCAATTTTGGATTTCTCATAAAATATACATTATTGCTGTTTTATTTACTGCCAATATTAAAACATTTCATTTTATTTTTGTATTGATTTTATATAAGCATTATGTAACATCTCTCTCAATTTTTAAGACTTTTTATTTTTTTTACCTCTGGTAAACAAAAACTATAATTCTTATATTATTGTTGCTCTTTTAGGCCGCAGTTTGGTGGCTAAGAAAAATGACGGCATCAAAGAATCTACAGATAGTAGTGCCACACTGGAAGACGAAGACACCAAAGGTAAATAACTGAAATAACATATTTTTTATTTTTTTTTTTTTGTTACTTTTTATTATCTCCCCAAATTTATATATTTATATCAGTGGTTCTCAACCATTTTTTTTTTTTTTTTTTTTTTTTACCCGCTTTTCCCCATAATGCAAAACATTGTCCAACTCAATATATATTCTTGAATTGTAGAAAGATTAGTATTCCAACAATACAAAAATGCTGATCTTTGACTTTGATTTTCTTTGAGAAACCCTAAAATTTTTCCTCCATCCACCTGGCTCGAGAGCCACTGATTTATACTATTTGGGTATAAATTTTCTGTTGTTCTTGTATCACTTTTGATGCCTTGTGCTCTCCAATTTAATGCATGTTTGATTTTTCCCTCCATACACTTGACAAAAGATAACATCTCAAAGGTAAGACAATGAATTCCAAACTTCAACATATTATAAGATTAAAAAAGACAAAAAATTACTTTTTATATATAGTTCTCAAGTATTTCAAGTAATCATGTAGTTGTTTCATCTCTACAAAAAAATTATATTCACTTAATTTGGAAATAATTTATATTGCATTTAGTGTGTGTTAGTATATCTTATAAGGTGATTTTCTAAGCGTGACTTAAATATGGCACAAGGTCAAAAGTATGGGGCACCCAGTGAGGATCGAACACACTACTAAATATTCTAGTGAAACAAGCTTGCTAACCATTGCACCACATTGAGATGCCCAAGTATATCTTATTAGACTTATATATTTTTTTCAATTTGAGTCAGTTATGTGCCATGCGTGATACATGCTTAGGTGATCATGTATCTTTGCATTACGTATCGAAAGATACATGACTGACAAGGCAGATTGTTTTCTGCAGTAGGTTGCCATTTCTTTCTGTGGTAGACCAGTTGCCATCCAAGGCTAAAGAACCCGGTCTGTCCCGCTATTTACCCATAGCTGGAGGGAGAAGAGAATTCATACCTTTCCCAATGGTATTAGCACGTAAGTGAATGTAATGGATTTGACTGGAATTCAAACTTGGCTCTCTGATCTGAGCTACTATTCATTACTCCACACTGCCTACTCAATTTAAATAATAACATCAAAAACATGCTTTAGTATATCCACAAAAACAGATCTAAAGAAAAGATAAAAAGGTATTACTTTTAGGTATAAATGTATCTGACCATACATAGGAAATATTTTGAATCATTGTCTAATAGATAAATAATTATACTTATTTAGTAATGCATTTCTAAATGAAGAGCATATCATTCTTACAATATTAGAAGGCTTTGTTGGCTTTCTATCTGTCATACCTGACGTACCTATTCTATTATTAATAGACTCTCCCACACATAATAAGTAGTAGTAGTAGCGGTAGCCAGTTGGGCTCAGTGGTGAGGAGCAAGTCAGTCAATATCGGACATTGAAGTACCAACCATCACAACTAGATTGCTGCGTCATTAACTCTTATTTCCAAGTTCAGGATGACTTATTGAAATACAAGCCTCCACTGTGAAAACTACTCTACAACACTATCACAGTGTAGAAGTTCTGGATCCTTCCAAATGCAACCTTTGCTCTGCTTTGGAGCCTTTTCATATATTTCCTCTTTTCTGTTGTTGGCAAATTGACAATTTGAATTTAATCACACACACATGATTTTTAAATGGTTAGGTGGTAAATTTATGATACCTATAATCAATAGATTTAGAAAAGGGATTTTTAATAACAAATCAAAAAGTGAACTTTAATAATTGAAATTGCTAGATGTAACTATGTTCTATGCTAACAGTTTCTTTTCTCGCACTTCTTGCTTGTGGAACTCTTTTCCAGCTTTACGCTTTCCAATCAACTTTGATCTTTAAAAATTTAAATGCAATGTTAATCTTTCTCCTTAATTCCTGTTCTTTAATTGTTCTCTCTCTCTCCATCATAATGTTTTTTTCTCAGATTCCCTTTGCATCTTAGTAGCTTTATAGCCTTACTTAGGGTGAAATGATTTAAAATTTTTTCAAAAGATTATCCTTAATATGGCAATGTTAAAATTCATGAACCAGTTAATCCTCTCTGTCCTATCATATACCAATACACCACACTTATATAGCAATTAGCTAAAATTTGAAACCATATTTCCATACCAAATGTAATAGTAATTCTACAAATGAATTCTTACAAATCCTCCACTCTCATACATCATAAAATGTAATATTAATATACTGTCTCCGGGATGCGTGTATTTCGTTGAAATGTACACAACCCTAGAGACAGTTAGCATAAACTCTCATCGACAATCAAGACTCTGAGACATAGTATGTTTTAGACACAGGTTTATTGACAGTCGACAAAGGTAAAACTGAAAGAAAATAAAAACACGTTTCTTCAGAAATACAGAAATACAAAATGAAGGTGAATATTTACTAAGACCTTAAGTAGTTGTAGGTACGATAAGCTTACAGAATAGAAGCATTTGAACATAAAAAATACTCATAGAAAGAAAAAGAATACAAATTATGCTGAGTAACAGTCGAGTTCAGAGAGGAAAGATGGAGGTTCCGCACGTGTTGAGAAGGTAAACAAAGTTCGTATATAGGAAGGAAATGATACTAAAAAATAATGCTTGCATTAAATAATTCCATAATAGGAAGGAAGAAAGGCGATAGTTCTTACCGGAGATGTCCAAGAATGACGAGATATTTAAAGGATGAAAACTATGCCATGCGGCCAAGCTGGGGGCATGCCATGTGGCCGTGCTGGGGGCAGCTAAACTAGATAGAGGCTGAGCACCGGGAACCTTCAATCGGTGTAGGGTCAGAAAGAAGCCCCCAAGCAAAGGGGCCTGTAAAGGGAGATGAGTGCTAGTAGGTCTGTTGTACACAGAACAGAACAATTAACATAATTAGTTGTTGAAAATCGACCTACTAATGTCCCTATTAGTGAAACAATTGATATTAATCTAAACAATATTTATCATCATTTTTTTCACCCACTTTTTAAAAAATAATTTTTGTGGTTTGCACAAAACATTTTCCATTTCATAGAAAATATGTGTCCTCTGTCAGTTCCGTATAGGATACAGGTTCGATTCCTGTCAGAGGATGCATATTTTCTATAAACTCAAGTTCTAACTTACATAACGACTGACATTAACGCTATAAATTATTAGAAAGCTTTTGTTAAATCTCAAAACAAAACACATAACTGAAAAAAAATTGGAAGACAATCATTTACCAGATTGTTGGCTTTGAATCAGTTGCTGTAAAATTCATCCAATGGAAATAATGACAGACTTAATATATTGCCTATTAGACAAATATATATAAATATACAATATTTGTACAGCGTAAAAAGATTGTAAAAACTTTACACAAGCTTTACATATGATCTATTGACCAGCTTGGCTATTGATTTATATATTAATAGACATTATTTAATAATGATTTATTAAAAACTTACCTTCTCTCTCAAATTGAAAAAGGAGGTGAAATATACTATGCTTTATTTAACCATATTTGACATAAGCATTCTGGTCATGATTAGCCTTCAAAACAAAATATAAAAATTTTCAAATGGTTAAAAGTTTCAGCTGATATGCCTAACAAATGTTATTTAACTTCTTTGAAACAGTATCTGATTGAAAATGTTGCTAATTTTAAACAAAAACAGATATGAAGTCAGTACCTATCATTTTTGCACACACACACATATATATATATATATATATATATATATATATATATATATATATATATATATATATATATATATATATATATATATATATATATATATATATATATATATATATATATTCTATGTATATATATTCTATGTATATAAAGATTGAAAAATATATATATATTATATGTATATACATATGTATATATATATTTAAATATATTATATGTATATATATTATATGTATATATATATATGTATATATATTATATATATATATATTATATTAATATATATATATATAGATATATATTCTATGTATATATATACACACTATATATATATATATATATATATATATATATATATATATATATATATATATATATATATATATATATATATATATATATATATATATATATATATATATATATATGTATATATATATATATATATATATATATATATATATATATATATATATATATATATATATATATATATATATATATATATATTATATATATATATATATATGTATATATTATATATATATTATATATATATGTATATATATATATATATATATATATATATATATATATGTATGGACAAACATTTCTTTGTGACACGTTTCGTCCTTTAGGACTTCATCAGGCTAAATTTAATCCACTTTGTCATACATTTTTCCCATATATTGTTCTTGATATATAAAAATTTATATCGTTATCTCATATATATAGAACCAAAATTGGTTAATATTTTACATTACTGTCAGAAATTAGGATCCATATTAAAATTTGTTGAATATTAGAATGTTTCCTAGAATAATTTGCTTCATTATGAAAACTTTATTCAATATTGTTCATGACATTAAATATTGCATTATTTCTGTCAGGCTAAAAAGAGACGAACTGATTTGATGAGGCGCCTGATACTTCTTGGGGAGGATTTTATACCTAAACCCATTAATTGGTTCTGTTGAGTGCAGAAAGTTCTAAGGATTAGATCAGCTTAAAGTTAGATTAGCTTCACTGCTTGATTTAATTGTTATGATGGTAGAATTAGTAATAATATTGGTCGAATATTTGATCCATAATTATTTTGATCCTTTATTTTCAAAGTCTTTATTCGTTTTTACTTGCGTCATAATGTTTCTTTGCTAAATAATTTTAAGATCTATCTACAATTGTTCACAATTCCATCAGCTTACCTTACATCCTGGTCTGGCTGGGCCTGTCTCATTTTCCCACTAGAGATATAAGCTTTTCTGGTGAGGAGGGTAGCTAAATTAAAAACAAGATCTTTGAAAAGACAGATGAATTTTCTTG